CCCCTCACTCTTTCACACACACACACACACACACACTCTCCCACTCTCCTTTTGCCCTCCCCTCCCCTTTCCCCCTTCGTTCCTCTCCACCCAACCTCTCTCTCCTCAGTCGATCCTTGCATCCGCCATTCTCTCCCCCGCCTAACCCCCTAGTCAGTGGCTCTGCTGCCATGGGAACATGTGTCTGGCCGCACAATTTTGCTTGTACAGTCATCCACTCACCCGTCCCACCTCCCTCCCTCCTGATCCCAACACACACCTCACGTTCCACCACCTGCAGCTGCTGTGCGCGTACTGCACCCATGCATCATCTCTTACACCCGCCCACGTCCCACCATCACCTTTACCCACCCTGGCCCATTGCGCACCTGGCTCCATAGCAAACCCTCCATCCATTTAAAGTTTTGCCGCCCAACAAGTACCCTTAAGAATGAGGCTTTTTAATGGCTGGACAATTTTGTTTGGAGATCAGGCTATAGCTCTTGGCCTGTTTCTCCAGGTGACCTGGTTGCATGTGTAGTGTTCTGCAGTAAGGCGAAGGAACGCTGCTATGCACATTTTTGTAGCCAAGTGATTCAGTTTATGATTCTGACTACTAAATGGTTTACTGGTAGTGTGTTGTTGACCAGCTATTTCGATACTCAATTTAAATATTCCTTGATGGTTATCGGATTAGCACTTTAGACGGACTGTCGTAACAAAATACTCTGCCTGTAATGCCGCACAACCGCTGTGTTCCTTCCACAGTTTCATAATCTTGTAGTGGTATTGGAAGTTGTGCGTGGTCGAGTTAGCCACGTCGCCTTCCTCATGGCAACCTGCCAACCACCATCGCTAAGCCTTGCCGCATCGGCGCGACTGCACGATGGTTCCGCTCTATCGCAATACACGCGCTGCCCGCACGCCATCCCAGCCTTGTCGCCCCAGGCGCGCCGTGGCACAGACGTGTCAACACCACGTGGCACCATGCCAGTCGTAGCAGCATGGGGTCGGCGCGAGCCGTCAAGTCTGCCCGGCGCGCGAATCATCGGTCAGTGGAGGAGCCGCGCCGTCGGAACGGAAGATCCCGCGGGACAGCAGCGGCGGCGATTTGTCGTGCACGCGGGGAAGACGGGATTTGGTGACGGCGGCGGAAAGGAGAAGAGCAAAGGGAAAGGAAAGGGTAAAGGGAAGGAGAAGGAGAAAGGGAAGAGGAAGGGGAAGGGGAACGACGAGAACGAAACGGTGACCGTCGCTCTGCTCGACGAGGTGAGCCGCTACTCGCCCCGCTGCAGTAATCACCGCGCTCGCGAAAAGAAGATGGTTCAGGGTTTAAGCTGTCAGGGTTCAGGGTTTTAAGGGTTTGGCGATGGTTTAGCTGGCCAGCGTGCGGCAGTGGCCCTTTTGTCTGCTCCTATGCCCCCTGTTTCTTCTCCGTTCTCGTCATCAGTTTCCCCCTTGTCCCGTTTCTCTCTCCCCCCCGTTGCACCAACTTCGATTCCCCCTTCCCCCTGCGCGCGCGCGGCAGGGCGGGGATGTGGGCGACATGAGCGAGGCGGACCTGGAGGCGGCCATAGAGGCGCTCTTCGCGCCAGCGACCTCGAGGCCGACGCTGACGTGGACGGCACTGGTTTCGCTGCGGGCGATGCTGACGTGGAGCTTGACGATGATGAGCTGGCGGCGCTGCAGGTTGAGCTGGACGCGGCGCTGGCGGAGATGACGGCGGAGGTGGAGAAGGAGGGAGAGGGAGAGGGGGAGGTGGATGAGGAGGAGAGAGCACTGGTGGCGGAGCTGGGACTGGAGGAAGGGGAGGATGAGGAGGAGGATGAGAAAGAGGATGAGGAATGGGAGGGTGGGCTATGGGAGCAGACGGAGGGGAGTCAGGAAACGGGAGAGGTGATGACGAAGGGGACGGCGAACGGGGAAGGAGAGCGACGAGAGGCGGGCAAGAAGGAAGAGGGGGTGCATGACGTGGCAGGGGTAATGGCAGGTGCCATTGCCGCAGGTGCTATTGGTAGCAGTGCTATGGGAAGGAGGGAAGCGGTGGCAGGGGAGAAAGAGCAGAGGATGGGGACTGCGGAGCACGTAGAGAGCGGTGCTGCAGTGGGCCAAGGGCAGGAAGATGCGAGGGGGAAGCGCAGCGATAAGTGGACACAAAAAGGGGGTGCTCTTGATGATGAGGGCTGGCAGGGCGAGGAGGAGGAGGACGCGGAAGAGGAGGATAGCAGTGGGGCAAGGGAAGGGGCGAGGCGGGAGGTGCAGCTGCAGCGATGGCAGCTGAAGAAACTGGCCCTGGCAGTGCAAAAGGGGCGGAGACACATCAATGTGCGCCTCTTACACTCCCATGCTCCTTCCGTGGCCTTTGTGCTTTCCCTCTCGTCCGCGCACCTCCTTCACACCTATCAATTAGACCCCGCCTCTCCCTCAGTCTCCCTTCATTCCCTCTATCTCTCTGTCCCCTGATCTCTTTCTGCACCCCCCTGTGGCCCCCCTCCACCCGTTCCCCCGTGGCACCCCCCCAGGTGAAGGCGCTGGCAGCAGAGGCGCATCTGCCACGGCGAGACGTGCTGGCGTTCCTGCGCCACCCCCCCGACATCTCCGCCCTCTTCCCCGACCTCCCCTCGCCCTCCACTCCCCCCACGACCTCGCCGGCCCCTGGTGAGGGTGCGGGGGAGCAAGAGACAGCGGTGGTGGCGCATAGTGGGGCTGCAGGGGCGCAGGGCGAAGGGAGCGGTGTGGGTGGAAAGGCCGGAGGCGAGGGAAAAGGCGCGGACAGGCTGGAAATGAGTGAGGAGGGGAAGAAGGAGTGGCAGGAGCGGTGGAAGAAGGGGAAGAGGATACGGCAGGAGCACCTGAGCACACTGGAAGCTGTTTACCAGCGCAGCAAGTACCCCACGGTGACTGCACCTCCCCCACCTCTCCCCCTTAACCCCCATCTCTTTGTCCTACTCCCACTTTTCTGCATCCCATCACACATCCAGCCTTGTGGGCCTACATGGAATTACTCGTTTCTGCTACATGTCTTACCGGTTTCACGGGGCAACTGAACTCGCCTAGAGTTCCAACTATCGCCATCAATCCGATGCACTTTCAACTTTCTCACGCTCTTCCATTGCCTCTCCTGCCTGCCTCTTTCCCCCTCGTACTTCCCTCCGTTTCACTGCATGACCGCCATCCTTTTCGTCTACCCTGTTATTCCCGTGTTCCCCTGGCCTTCCAGAACGCGGTGGTGGCGAACCTAGTGAGTGTGACCCACTTGCCGCGCCGCCGCATCCTGCAGTGGTTTGAGGACCGCCGTGCACGCACAGAGACGGGCAGAGCACAGAGGGAGATGCGTGGCAGGCGCAGATAGAGTGGTTGGTAGAGAGTCAGGATACAGTTCATGGCCCATGGTGGCTACGTAGCTGGTGTTTATACCATGCAATGGATGTGGATATTGTTCATTCGCACACTTGAAAGGAAGTAGTACCATCTCGGTCAGAAATGTCCTTGATGGGGAAAGGCAGTGATGGGTTCACACATCCAGTACGCTCTGTATAATTGCCGCATTTCCTTTGACTGTAACAACACGCTGTTGCAACAGCGGGAGTTTACCAGCTGCGGCTCAGCAGCAAGTTAGCAGCACTGCTCTTTCTGGGACACATTCAACGCCTCACGTGCATCAAGTTTCTAGCCACTGCGCATTGGACGAGATGCAAGGGCTGAACAACTTCAGCCAACTCCACCGAACCCATACCGTATTTCAACCAACTGGATGAATGAATCAACAGGAAATTCCGCAGTATGAAGGTTACAAACGTTTTTTTTTTTTTCCTTTTTCTTTTACCTTGCAGTTTACTTCAAATCCTGTTATCCCAGGTTTTGTTGTACTTGTGACGCATTGCTACTCGATTCTGTACAATCCTTGTTCAGCTCAGTGTTCATATTTTCGGCGTGTGTCACTAACGGCAATAGCGATGAATTTTGCACGCAAAGGATCAACCGCGGCGCCGTCTTTGTCAGATGTTTGACCACGTAGCAGGTGTGTTGGGGGGGCTCCGGGACCGCACGCAGCGCAGGCCAACGGCCCAATGCTTGCGAAATTTGGGACTCGACTCGAGGGATCGTGGCGGTCTGGTTGGTTGGTTGGGGTAACCTTGGGTGTTGCGACAGGCTGGCGCTGCCTCGCACGAATCGCGACCGTGTCCTGAAAGTGAGCGAGCTACCAAAGCCAGGCCCAGTGACAAAGGCGCCAGGGAACAACGACCTGCAGCGGCACGCCGTGCACAAGGCTGGGCGCAAATCCACACCTGCCCTGCGCGTCGGACTTTCCCCAGGCCCCCGCCAACCCCCCGCCACACCACTGTTCCCCGCACTTCCTCGCAACAAGCACCACTCGCTCCCTCCCTACCCCTGGGTTCCGCTCAACCTAACGGGAACACCCAGGTTAGCCGCAGGCAGGGCCCACCAAGACATCCTCGCAGCCGTTTCCCAGGTTGCCCCGCCAAGGGCGAAACGGCATGTGTGTGGATGGGGGCGGGGTGTTGGTTGGGTGAAATATGCGAACCACGATTCTCGAAACTCGTTTTGCTAGGAAGCAGTAGGAGGGATGTGGAGCTGAAGAGTTTTCGAGGCCAGAAATCAGAGATTCTCGAGGTTATCATGTTATTTGAGAATGGCGCTAAGCGCCTACCCTCGTAGCATCTATCTGTCTGTTCTGTAGAAGGTTTTTAGTTAGATAATGGTCGCTCTCCTTGCCACTCAGCTGGCCCACAGAGACGACCAGGACACTATGAAGTCCGTACCTTTGATGAAAAAGGCGAAGCGATTACTACTTGCTAGAGGAGTCTTCGGACTTGTGCGAACAGTCATTTCGGTTTCCTTAGTTCTACTTGTCACCCAGCAACTTCTTTTCCTGCGCGCACGGGATTTGTTGTCGAGCGCCCCAGGCACTAGTGGTGAGTCGTTATGAATGGACTTTCAGGACGTTAAGAAATATTCCACTTCAGCAAAAACCAATATCGCTTCTTTGTTTTCTGCAGATGGTCTTTCCGGTGTGCGTTACTTTTCAGGCAACAACGGCCTATACCGTGAGAAGGTGCGCCCTCAGATTCGTGTCAGCCAATTTAGACGTTCTTAACTCAAATATCGACACGCTAAAGGTCTTCCGTTTGTCTGCTGCAGATTGGATCAAGCGGCGACTCCTCCGCCAGCTTACGAACCCGGTTGTCCAGACGGATGCACGTTGCTGTTGCCGGACACCATAACGGCAGTACGGAACGACCAAAGCCTAGCGTCTCTAGAAGCGGGCACGGCGACGCACGGCCGCCGTCGAGCTCGAAGCTAGTAGAGTGTTTTCTTTCTGCCAAGTCGTATTTGACGATCGCAGACGAGGTGCAGGATGAGATTCTTATGGAGCGCGTGAAGCAGGAGGTGCACCGATGCCTAAGCCTTCTAGACCAGGCATACGCCGGCGGGGCACGCGACGCGATCGCAGTGCCCGAAGAAGCGCGTCCGAAGCAGAAGCGGAAACGACCGCTTCGAGAAGGGAGAGCTTTGTCCAGGTGCGTAGGGAGCATGCACGAGGCGCTAAAATGCGTTTTTGGCTTGTCATGTGCCAGGGAGTAAGATTGATCATGCGCTTGTGTTGCAGGTTGAAGCTGAAGCTGGAGGCGGCGGAGCAGCAGACGAAAAACATGCTTCTGCAGAGCATGGTTTTCAGCCAAATAGCTTCTCGCGCTATTCCGCAGCCGCTGCACTGTCTGTCGCTTCGCCTAACCATGGTCCACAGCACACACCCCGAGCTCATGACGACAGACAGGGTTGATCCTAGGCTCTCTGACCCCAACTTCCACCATTACGCCTTGTTTTCCGACAATGTCGTCGCCGTTGCCGTCGTCGTGAACTCAACAGCATCAAACGCCGCCAACGTAGGTGCCAGCGTGCATGCTTTCTCTCTCTTTTTTAATTCCATGAGGAGGACTCGAGGCTAACCGCTGAATGTGATTCTTGAACGCGTGCAGCCGTCGGAGCATGTATTCCACGTCATCACCGACAGGATGAACTACGCCGCCATGAAGGCCTGGTTCAGTCTCAACCCCCCACGCGGGAACATGGCTCTCGAGGTACGCTTCCGGGATCTTCCTATACCCCATTTGAATGTTGCCCTCTGAACAGTATTCTAATTCCGGTTGCTGCGGCTTCACCTGCTGCTGCATCCTCTCGTTTGCAGGTTCGCTCCTTGGACGAATATCCGTGGATCAACGCCTCGTATGTACCTGTGTTGAGGCAAATCGAATCTGAGGCCATGCGCGATTACTACTTCCAAGCGTCTATGGCGTCCAAAGTCGGCGCAACGCACGCGAAGGAGGACTACGTGGACCTCAAGTACCGGAACCCCAAGTACCTGTCCATCCTCAACCACCTGCGCTTCTACCTTCCGCGGATATTTCCTCAGCTGGATAAGATCCTATTCCTGGACGACGACGTGGTTGTGCAGCAAGACCTGACAGAACTGTGGAAGGTATTCAAAGTCCCCATCCCCACTGCTACTCGCATTCATTCACGAATCGATTGTGTAGACGGCCAACAGCTTTTTGGTCCATTCTTCATGCTGCCTATTGAAATTGCTTTGTTTCCCCAAATCTTGTCCTTCAGATCCCCATGAATGGCAAGGTGAACCTTGCTGTTGAGACCTGCGGGAAGGTGTTTCACCGATTCAAGACGTACCTCAACTTTTCCAGTCCCCTTCTGGCTGACTTCGACCCTGAGGGGTGCGGATGGGCCTTCGGAATGAACATGTTCAACCTGGCTGCATGGCGGCGGGGGAACTATACCGACAAGTACCACTTCTGGCAAGATAAGGTTGGCACCAGTTGCTTGATGATTGGATTCACAATTCTGAACATCCCTCTTGAATCTCAACTGCTCTTGCCACGTGCTAACTATGACTTCGTTCTTGTGTTGCTCAGAATGAGGACCGCTCGCTCTGGAAGCTGGGCACCCTTCCTCCTGGTCTACTGACGTTCTACAACGCAACAGAGCCTCTGGACAAGCGGTGGCAGGTGTTGGGCCTGGGCAGCAAGAGCACCGTCGACGTTGGACTTGTGCAGCGAGCAGCCGTGATTCATTATAATGGCCATGCCAAACCGTGGCTGGAACTCGCCATCCCCGTCTACCAAAGGTTCTGGACGCGATATTTGCCATACGACAATCCTCTGCTCCAGCAGTGCAATTTCAGAGCACCGACTGCTGTTGCTGCTGACTAGCCTTACTGACAGTCATGAGTTGCTAACTTCTAACCCTAGTTAGGCATGTAGATTGACAACTCGGGGATGTGTTCAGTGCTGGGAGGAAACAAAGCCACATTGGCTATTAAAGCTTGTAGGCATGCCAGCTGAAGCTGACACTCCTTGCATCAGTTCCATTTGTCCATTCAGCACAAGTCAACCGTGTCTCCCACAAGTGATGCCACGTGCATCTGCTCTGCTTGGCCTATCTATGGCATCTCCACCCTCTGTTCACTCACAACCGGAGCGGTAAACACCATGCCCTTGTCCAGCTTATAGACACGTTGCCATAAGTCCTCCTCACTGGGCTCTGCTGCATCTCTGGCAGCTTTCACTGCTGCATCCACCTCTGCTCTAACCCTCTTCTCTGCCTGCCTGAGACCCTCCTCGCTCTCCACTTTATGCTGGCAGTTGGGGGGGAGGAAAATGGGTAGAAATCTGTGATTAGAATGCATGAAATCATGGCAAATAAAATAAAAAGCAATACCTTTTGTGACATTGTTCATATCAACAAGTGAATGTCGGCTTGGAGCTCTAGCTGGTGCGACTAGCCAAGCCCTCTCACAGCATCATGCCTGACCTCTAGTATAAGGCGTCGCACTCGCTCGATGGGGTCGCGCGCGCGGCGGGTTTGCTGAATCTCGGTGCGCTGGCGGTAGGAGCTGCCAGGGTCGGACATGGAGTGACCATGGTAGCGGTATGTGTCCATCTCCAGCACCATGGGACCCTGCCCACCCACACACACGCACATCACATGGCAACGTGTCGTTCGGGTGAGGTGAGGGCACATGGATGGGGGAGGATACGGTAAGAGTAAAGCAGCAGAGGCTGGGAGAAGCCTTGGAGGGCACATCAGAGTTAAATCGTGGAGGGGAGTAAAGTGCGTAATGTTGATGGGGAGCAGGCAGGTGTGATGTGAGTGTGCACCTTGGCGATGGCATGCTCCTTGGCATACTCCATGGCTTGTTTGACTGCCAGCACGTCCATGCCATCCACCTGCACACTCATGCACGCACGCATGCACGGTCAGTAGAGAGCAGAGAGGCAGGCGCCCTCAGCTCACGTGTGAGACACAAGCCACAGTACTCTAATTAGCCAGAAAGCATGTGCATGGGCAGGTGCAGTGGGGTGTGCGCACGAGCAGGCCAGGGATGTAGTTGACGCGGTCGAAGAAGCTTGTCTGCGCTGATGCACGCCGCTCAGAGGTGCCCATGCCGTACTGCACACACCAGGAGAGGGGCATGTGAGGGGGTGACTCGCGTCATGGGAGGACTAACTGCATACCGAGATGGCACTGACTGGAAACACTACCTCTAATCCGCAGGAACGTTGCACTTCATGGGCAGTAGAGTGCAAACGCAGGTGAATGACTAGAAGCGGATGGGTGTCGCAACTCACATGGTTGTTCTCGACAACGAACACCACTGGCAGGCGCCACAGTGCTGCCATGTTCATCGCCTCGTACACCTGGCCCTGTGGGGCGCACGGGAGCACGGTGCAAGCAATGCATGGAGAGACCACACATGCGGAGCTCAGTACCATGCCATGCCATGCCACGTGCCATGTCATGCCACAGCGGTTCTGTATTCTTGCCCCCGCCGCTCTTACCGGAGCAAGCACTATTTGTACAACTATTTCTCTGTCCATCCACCTGGTTGGCAGCGCCGTCACCATACACGGCGGCAGTCACGCCCTCCCCCTGCCGCCCCGCCAGCTTCTGCCCCAGAGCCAGCCCCGCGCCCAGCGGCGGCGACGTGCCCACGATGCCCCACCCGCCGTAGAAGCCTCGCGCCACGCCGTACAGGTGCATGGACCCGCCCTTGCCGTGCGCGCACCCATCGCGCCGCCCCATCAGCTCCGCGAACAGCCCCTGTGGCGCGGGGATTGCCGAAAGGAGGAGAATCGCACATACATGTCAAGAATGTACGGTGAGTCCAGCAAGTGCAGCGTTCACTTCCAGCTGTAAATCGGGCCGCGATCACCTGCAGCGAGCCCCCCCTGGAGAGGAAGAATCCGTGGTCGCGGTACGCCGTGATGAGCGCGTCGTGGGGCGCCATGGCGGCCTCCATGCCCACGGCCACGGCCTCCTGCCCGTCGTACAGATGGCAGAACCCGCGCACCGCCCTCTCCTTGAACAGCTGCAAGCACACCGTTGCTCGGGGGCCAGTGAGGTTGAGGAATATGGAGCGATGATACGGATGATGTCAGACGAGGCAGAGGACGACGAGAAGAAACCGAATCTCGTGTGCGAGACGACGAGTCAGTTATCACGCTACGCTTCCTGGAGGCATTTTTTGACATAGCAGCGGGGTGGCGCACCAGGTCAGACACGATTTCGGCGCGGCGAATGACCGTCATGTCGTGGAACAGACGCAGCAGCTCGCGAGGCGTGGTGCGGACGAGGGGCGGCGGCGGGTCGCAGTGGAACGGCGTGGGGGGCGCGGCCAGTTGCACCTCGATGGAATCCGAAGGATCGCCCTTGCTGGCGCTAGATACCGGCGAGTCTGCGACATCTGCAGCCTGCACCGAGGGAGTATTTTCACCCGAGGACGTCGTGGTGAACGCGACTGCCGCTGCTGGCGGTGCCAAGGCTGGACGGAGACCATTTGCCAGGAACGCTCTCGCGCATGGCGACGGAGAACGCGGATAGATGGAGGCATCGAATTTGACCGAAAATTGTGGAGCGCAGGCGAGCGGCAGCATGGCGGCCAACGAGTCGCGAGTCTCTCCTAAATCAGGGAGCAGCGTGTCATTAGGTAACCATTGTTTGTGCACCTGCCGGGCCCTCGACAGACGTAATAAGATCTTGCGGGCGAGTCTTGCCCTTGAAATCAATGCGGAAGACATGGCGGAAAAGAAACTACCAGCTGACGTCAGACTGCCGAAGCTTAGCCCGGAAAACCTCGCACTGTGGAGGGAAGAGAAGGTACTTGAAAATAGGAGGTGTGTGCGAAACGCAATGGAAAGATGGTGGGAAATTGGGGAGATAGGAGGCTGTTTGCTCATAAAAACTCGAATTGCAGACAATGTGCGACTCGAAGTGCCCATTGCGAAATTGCATGTCATCCTGCACATCACGCGTGGCCGAGCTACACGCAGATCATTTACAAATCATACAAGCAGTTTCTGTACAGAAAGTATTAAGAAATTTAGGGTGACAAAGACGGAAGAGCGTGGAACCTACAACCAATTCGCCTTCTAGAATCACCATGCGCTGCGACCAACACGTACCCAGTTTCGAAGACATGCGATAGTGCGGCGTCGCAAACGTCGCACGATATCCTGAACTGTTCACTCCTTTCCCAGTCAATCCCGCCGTCCAATGGGAAGTCGGGATGCTCAGCGCAGCTGACCCTGCGGTGTGTGCGACCGTGCGAATTCACTTTGCAGCTCCGCTCGCCCCCCACCCCACCCGTGCTTGCGACAAAAGTCCGCCCCAATCTCTCGGAACTCCGCTCCACGCCCCACCCCCCCTTCCCCTCCCTCCATGCACCCTGCCGCCCAGATCTATCTCCTAGTTCCCGCTTCCGCCACCGCCCTTGGAGCTTCGCCAGTTTATTGTGCCCTTGGAGCTTCCCCACCATTTTGCAATTTAGACTTACGTAGAGCTAATAATGCATTTCCTCCATACGATCCTGTAAAATCTAGCTCCATTATTATTTTCCACTCCTGCCTACTTCGTCCCGTGCCGTGGCTGTGTCTCCTGGTCGCGCAGCGCATTTGTTTCCTCGCTTCCACTGGCGCCCTTCTCTTCCTCCGCGCTGCAGCATCGCTGACGTACCGCCCGTGCCAGCGCTGCAGCTATGGGCGCGCGAGCCGACGAGGCGCGTAGCGAGCTGCTGCGAGTGCGGCGCGACATCCACACGGTGGAGGAGCAGCTGGCGCGGGCGACGCACGAGCTGGACGAGGCAGCCAAGGCGGGCGATCGAGAGCGAGTGGACGACCATCGCCGGATGCGGAATTGCCTGTGGAAGGAGAAGGAACAGCTGCGCATCCAGGAAACCATCTTCTTGAAGATCGCCTTCGCGGATTTCCCAGCGCCCAATATGATGGCATCCCCAGGTGCGGCGTGTGGTGAGGGCTCGACGGAAGGCAGTGCGTGCGGCCCGGCGACGGTAGGATTCGGAGGGCGCAGAAGGGTAGGTGGCTCTTCGATCGACGGGGAATGCAAAACACCCCCATCACTTTCGCACAATTCCTCTCCCCCCCCCCACCCCCCCACTACGTTCCCTCTGCAAACTCTCTCCTCTACTTTGCCGGCCCCTCTACGCCCCGTTTTGAATCCCTCTTTCCCCGCACTCGTCTCTCAGGTTCGCACGCCTTCTCCTCGCCCGCGCTCCCCTCGCCCCTGCATCTCCAACATCAAGCGCAAATGGCGCCGCATACCGCGCAGCTCGGCCCGCCTCCATTTAACAACCCCCCCCTGGGCGGGTCGTCGCTGTCGGGGTCGCCGTCGCTGATGGGCGCGTGCGACCCCGCGCTGACCCCCCTGCACACCGCCACGCTCATGCCCGGCGCCAGCCCCCCCGATTGCTTCTCCTTGGGCGGCCCTTCCCCGTCTCCCCTCCAAACCCCGCTGTCTGGTCCCGGCGGAGCAATGGGCATGGGCGCGCAAGGAGGGGGCGGGCATTTCACATCCACGGGAATGTCTGCGGGGCAGTCGCTTCTTGGGATGCTGCCCACCTCGCCCGCCATGCGCCCCGCCTCTGGGACACCCGCATCTGGCAGCGGCGGGCGGATCGGCCGGCGGAGGAGCGCGATGTCCCCCGGGCTTGCGCCGATGCAGAGCGGCGCAATGCTGATGGGCGGAGACATGGGGGAGATGGCGAACCCCGAGGGGTACGAAGTGAGTCGGAACCTCGACGCGCGCGTGGAGGACGTGTGGCGCGAGTGGAAGGAGGGGCTCAACGGCGGCCCGTCCATTGAGAAGCTTGAAGAGGCGCGGCGGCGCGACCGCAAGTGCGTGTGGTGGCGGCATAAGAACGACTACAAGTACTGGCGCAAGCAGGTGAGGGGGACGGGCACGCTTGCGCAACTGGGGCCCATGTGAGCGGCGCGTGCAAACGGTTAGATGTCACTCGCTACTTGACTGCCGTACCCTTGCCACACGCTCCCATTCTCTCAGTACCGTTCTCGCCCGTGCTTCCCTCTCCCATCCTGTCTCTTCCCTCTGTCGCCCCCGTTCCCTGTCTCCCCGCACGACCATCTTCCCTCTCCATGCCTCCGCCGCCCGGGATTCTCCTCGCACGCGGCTGGTGGCGGGGGGCGCGCGGGGCAGATGCGCATAGTGCACGCGGTGGAGAGCAAGGCGGGCGAGTTCGCGGGCGACGTGGCGGCGGCGATCCGCTTCTGGGACGACATCCTGCGCGTCGAGTTCGCCGGCTCCATCTCCAAGCTCCGCGAGGCGCTTGGCGGCGACCGCCCGCTGCCGTCCGCGCAGTCTACAGGTGGTGGCGGCGGGGGCAACGGTGCAGACGACTCCCCCGGTGCGGAGGGGCGGGGGGAAGATGGGCGGGAGGGTTCGGGAGAGGGAAATGACGGGGGCGGAGTGGGAGGAGGGGAGGGGAGCAAGTGGAAGAGGCAGAGGAGGGAGTTGCTGCAGCGGGGCGTGGAGAGAATGAAGGCGTGGGCGCAGGGGGGCGCCAGCGGTGCTGCTGTGGGCGGCAGTGCGCTGATGGCAGCAGCGCTAGCGCCTGCAGGCGTGGGTGGTGTGTGTGCAGACGGGGGCATGGTGGGCGGCATGGGGGGGGGGCAAGGGTCGATGGCAGGGGCGGTGGTAGATGGCATGGGCACTCCCATGGGCATGCAGGCAGGCATGGCGCAGCAGACACAGATGAACGGTGGTAATGGTGCGAGTGGGCTGGGTGCGCACGTGGTGAGCTCGCATGAAATGGGTGTTGTTCAGGGCGTGCTGATGCAGCATGGGGGGGGCAATGGCATGCAGCAGCATGGGGGCGGAAATGGCATGCAGCAGCATGGGGGCGGAAATGGCATGCAGCAGCATGGGGGCGGAAATGGCATGCAGCAGCATGGGGGCGGAAATGGCATGCAGCAGCATGGGGGCGGAAATGGCATGCAGCAGCATGGGGGCGGAAATGGCATGCAGCAGCATGGTGGGGGGAATGGCATGCAGCAGCAAGGGGGAGAGCAGCATATGGTGGGTGGGCATGGCGATGGAAGCGTGATGCAAGGGCATGTGCAGCAGCATGTGATGCAAGGGTCTGGTCCCCAGCATGGGCAGTCTGGTATGGTGCAGCAAATCTGATGGGCTGCCTCCCACAGTGTAGTGTTTGTGTGCCTTGCCTTGTTTAATCTTGATACGTGTTGCTATGGCAATTTCCGTGGCCTCGTGGCCATTTCGGCCCCTACGATTATTGTAGCACTCCTGTATGCCTGCTGCAGCCCTGAAATGCAGTGCTTGCTCTAGCAATGGACCTTGGATTTTGCCTGCTGCTGTCAGTGCACCTCATTGTTCATTCAAGCCCTTCTCACTTGAAGTTGATACCCTGCATATGAATTGGGGACCTGAAATACAGATTGGTAAAGAACGCAAGCTGCAGTCCAAGCATCTGCTTTTCAGCAACTTTGAGTTGTCTTCGCCTGCGCTACTCTGGAACGAAATATTGTTTTGGAGGGAAGGGAATGAGAAGAGGGCACGGCTTACGGTAGAGGGCAGGTTTAAGGAAAGTGCGATTGCTGCTGTTGATCAAATATAGAGTACCGTACGTTTCTGGAACTCAGTAAAGTTGTTAGATAGCTATAGATGTAAGGTTGTGTTCCTGCAAGTCTGTTTGTGTTTCCAATCCAGTTCAGGGCGCCAGCTGCTGGATGGGGAGGCGGATACGGTACCTACTTGTAAAGCTATTATTAATTTACGGTAGCACCTACTAACATGTATTACTACCTACCATATGAAGATCTCCTAAAAATAGATGAACTTCAACAACAAAATCTCCATTATGGAGCAAAAATGATGAGACTTGGGAAAAATACGGTAGGTTAGCTGGATGAGCATGCTTCTTCTCTGGCCTCCTGCGCTAGAAATGGGTCTGAGCCAAAATTTGGGCGCTGGGGGAGCACAGCACCAGAACAACACATCCCAACGAGTTGTCCACCCTGCAGCGCGCGCTCTTATCCCACACACGCTGTGTCCATGGAACCAGTGCTAGTTTGCCGTGTTGCCAGTAGGGTAAAAAATGCCATAGGTGTTGTCTGTTTGGGCTCCTGCTGAGATTCGCACCCCTGCTGCTTCAGGGTTGATGGTCATGGACATGGCTGCCTGCACATGAGGCACGCCCACAGCTACCATGGTAGAGCCTCCATTGCTGCTCGACTCGTTCTGGATCCGCACCAGTTGTTCCTGTTGAGAGCACGACACACGTAGAAGGGAATAGATGGGACGATGTTTCGAGAATGAGTAATCATGTCACGCAACAAGACAAAGGGATGGCATTGCTGGGCCCAAAGCACTGGCGTGCATCCCGTGCAGCTTACATGAATGGACAGCTGGGTGCGCGTCTCATCGTCCTCCAGCTGTGCCACAACGTCCTCCACTGCTCCTCCGCCTCCTGCCCTCCCTCCTCTACGCATCTCCATGCTGAGCCCCCCCACAGTGGCCCTCGCCCTGTGCTCTGCGTGTGCCCCCCTTGACTCTACAGACCGCACAAACACGTCCCCCCTCTGCTGCATCTCCCCTCCTGATCCTGCACCTAGCAAGCCCTGGAAGGGTGCTGCAGTCGCGCAGAGGTCAACACATTTCTCGTCAGAGCCAGAAACACTGCCACTAAGGCTTGCTGCTGCTGCAGTGGTGCCACAGAGAGGCGAGGGATGAAGCGATGGGGATGGTGGTGCAGCAAAGGGATTGCCGGCAGTGGAGAAAACAGGTGTGCTGCAGGAGCGATGAAAAACTCTCCCCGGGAATGCAGTGGCGTGGGGAGACAGCTGAGCAGGTGATTGCCGTGGCAGAGAACCAGCGTGAATACTCGAGTCAAGCGCGCTAGAGTTTTGCTGCTGCCGGGGGTGTGATTCTACAAGGTAATTTGTAGCAATAGCAGGTGGTAGTGGCAGGGCATTGAGATGCTCCTGTGGGCGGGGAAACATGCGTGCGGGTTGCAGAGAGGATGCAGGTGGTGCGGGTGCCCCTTGCTGAGGGGACATTCTGCGCCTCTTGGCAAGCAGGGACGCATTGCCAGTGAAGAGCACCGGGCCACCCATGCGTGCAGTTGTGGCGTGAATATGGGTGTGAAGGCGACCAGCTGCACCATCCCACGACCCAGGCGAGAATGTGACTGGAAGGCCGCCCACAGCTGCCACAGCTTCAGGACTTTCGCTCCCAAGCAAGGGGCTGCTGAAGTCACTTGCGCTCTTAGCTCTCACTAGTTGCGACTGTGCGCCCATGTGCCTCGCATGGGAGTGCAGCTGCTCAGGCGTGTTTGCTGCAGGGCGTGTGGATGACGGGTAGCGGAATGGATAGGCAGCAGCAACACGTGTTGCTGCCACCGTCCCTGCCAAACCGTGACCTTCACCACTAGTGTTGACCCATGCTGCTGCTCCACCAGCAAATCCAACTGCGGCGGCACCACCAACAGCAGCACCACCAGCACCGGTGGGAGCAGCAGCAGCAGCAGCAGCAGCGGAGGTTGTGGCAGTTGTGCAAGGGGCAGCGATGGCGGCAGCAACAGCAGCAGCGAGGCCCGTGGAGGTGTGCGTATACGGGCCATAGATGGCCTCCCACGGGATGAAGTTCTCCGGAGGGAGAGGCCGCCACGCCTGCTGCTGCTGCTGCCGCCCTCTGCGACTCCACCCCACTCGATCCAGGTGCTGGTGCGAGGCAGTGCGAGGGGATGCGTGGGCATAAGGGAGAGCAGGGAGGGATGAGAGGGGAGAGAGGGGAACAGCAGTGTTGATGGGAGGAGCTTGCTGTCCAGTGGCCTCCTGCAACTCCTCCTGAACTTCTTTCGCCAGAGCAGCATCAGCGACAACAGCAGGAGGAGCAGCAGCAGGCGGAGGAGCAGGAGCAGAGGCGGGAGGATGCCATGGGACGGCCAATCTGTGAGGCAAGGCCGACAGCAGGGGGATGCGCAGGTGGCGTGGGGCTGCGAGTGGGCGAGCATGCAGGCGAGGTGAGAGAGCAGGGACTGCGTGGTGGTCAAGGGACGCGCGCGGCAGAGAGGATAGAGACGCGTGCACAGATGCACGCAGTGGGGGGCTGAGCGAATGCACGTGGGACGACGCCAAGTCGCTGCCACTGCTGCTGTGCGTGCTGTGGAGCACACTCGTGCTGCCCCCTCCCCCGGAGTTGGCGCGTGGCAGGGAATGAGAGGTGAAGCGCAGCCTGGAGCGGGCCGTTGGACTGCCCACGCCTGCAGCGCCCGAGGGAGAGGGCGGGCAGTGAGCGAGGGAAGCAGTGGGGGGGGCAGAGGAGGGGCGCGGAGAGCGGGGCGGAGGAGGTATGAAGATAGGGCCGTCGGCGGGTGTCGTGGGATGTGCTGTAGCTGTGCGTGCGGCAGTAAGAGGCTGGGATGAGTCCTCATGTGGCATTGTGGTGAAGATGGTGCAGGGAACTGGTAAACTACACTGCGGCACAGGATGCTGTGCACGCGATGGTGGAGAAGCGAAGACGAATCTATCATGTGCGAGATTGCTGGCGATCGCAACTGTCGTGGCGTCCACACCTGTGCGTGCTTCGTGCACTGCCCGTAGCTGCCCGTCACCCCATGCTCCACCGCCGCCATCATCTGCATTCACTGAACTACCCGCCCCTACCGTTGCACCCACGTTCTTAGGATCACGCAGGCCAGGAGGAAAGTTCAAGTGCGTGCTTTGATTGGAAACAGCAGCGTGCACGGCTGTAGGGGCGCCTCCAAGTAGGCTGCCGAACCGTCCCCCGTCCTGCTTGCTCGTGCTGTTGCTGCTGCAGCTGCTGTTGTTGCTGCTGCTGTTGTTGCTCTTCGTGCTGCCCCTCGGGACAGAGAAATCGCCACGTGCCGCACCAGCACGAGAGGACAGCAACATGGCGGGGAGGCTTCTCGGGCTTGCTGGGATAAAGCGATCAGTGAGGTGCAAATTGCTAGTAGCGGTGGTCCTGATATGCCGTGTGCCCCGCGGGATCCACACGCCGTCCTCCGGCAGCTGCTTCATGGATGTGCACACGCCAGGATTCTCGTACCACCGCTGCAAACCGGCCTCGCCCATAACTTGCGCGGCTCGTCCAATCGCGTCTGAAGTGGCGTCTCTCCCACCCGCCGTTGTTGCTACGGGCGAATCGTTGGTTGGCTGTTGCGAGGGAGTAAGCGGCAGGCCGGCGTTCAGATCGTGCTCTCCCTCCAACTGCAGCGCTTCAAGATTCAACCGCCGGTGTGCTGATATCGTATCGCTACCTGCCTGGGGCGCACCGCAAGTCTCGCGCATTCGAGACGGGGCGGTAGTACCGGCTGCAGTCGTATTGGCAGAGAATTCGGCCAACGCCGCCGCCCCAGCATTGCTCGCAGCTGCGCTGCGCTTTTCAATTGCGGCGCCAGCCACTCCTGCGTAAGGCCTTGCCTCTGCATCATACGGCCGCGCTTCGCTGAGGGTCACCGTTGCCTCCCCGCCGTCGCGGGTGGAGGGCGGATCCAGTCGCTGCGGGCGCCATTGGCAGCGTTCAACGAGAGCCTCCAGCCCTGCCGTCGCTGCGGCGTCCGCGGGGTGGGCGGGAAGTGGAGTGGGCCAGCGGTTCCCGTGCGTGCCTGTCACGTTGTCGGAGACGGTGAATTGTGCGGCCGATACTTCATCATCGTGTCTTCCTTTCTGCACTGTAACTTCTCTGGACCTTCTGCTAACCGCCTCATGCACCCACGGCGCCTCGAGAACAGCGCGCCGCGCTCCTGCACCCGCGACCGCAGGTGGAATTCGTGCAGCTGGTGAGTGACCGCCGAGCATCACCATCTCAATGCAGTCTAACTCTGTCTGCCGCGCCCACACGGCGGGACTACCACGAACCGCAGTCAGATGATCACCATCATTGTCCGACCCCATGATCGCACCATGTGACAGCTCCGTGCATTCTGTAACGTGATGGCGGTCGTTCGTCACGCCCGTCACCATTAAAGCGGCGACTGGGATCGGCGTGCACGCGGCGCCATCCGTGCTGCTTTGTGTGGTTTCTTTGCACTCCGCTCCACGCCACATGGGTTCTCACTGCACGTCTTGCGCTGCGCGGATTTCACTGAAGACCCCGGACGAGCTTCTACCATTAACACTCGTGCTAAATCCCAAGTATCGTTTCGCGTGAGTCCTGCTCCTCGATCACTTGCCAGAGTGAAACTTGCTCCTGAACAAAACGGTTGCGGGAAGCATGATTCGGAATGACGAGTCGTCATTGCGTTCTGTTGAGTGGCGATTGCGCCAGCAATGGAAAAGGCCTGCCCCGTCGTCATGCTCGATTGCAGGGCAGTGCAAGGCCCATACGACGTAGTAGTGATTTAGGAGCCAGCCTGGCATGTAAGGGGGGAAAAGCTGTGGGTTGCAATTTAGGACCATCAACTTGGTAACACCTGTCTAGACGCGGTGTAGTTCTGCTGTGTTGTGAATGAAACATTCCCAGCCCCCTTGGCAATCGGCCTCAGGTGCGAGGAAGTCAACCTAGTGCATATTGAATTTACAGCTCCATTCGGTCACACCAATGTCGTGGTCGTGAAATTACACGAACGCCTTCAAAGTATAGCTTCGTGTACAGAGAAAAGCTGGCTGTGGCTGTGGTGGGTGTGCGTATCCTGCCAAAAAGGCTGCACTGTTGGGTTGATTCTTCCCACTGGGCATGTGTGCAGATTCTGTTTCAGATTCTGGCGGCGGCACTGTCGCACTGTGCACAAACAAGGGTTCAGATAGGACGACGTGACGTGGGCTCGCATTTGACGACTTGCAAGCAGGATTCGGTGCGTGCACCACTCCGTTCCGTCGCCAATCTGGAGGGAGTTCACCACAAGCATTTTGAATTTCTCGGAGTTCGTTCCTCCCCTTCTTTTACCCCCCTCCACGGAATAGTGGAAGTGACTACGGTGGACCATTTGTGACAACAGTAACGCTTCACGAACATTAACGCATATTTGCGACAATTATGCCAGGTCGTAGTCACTTCCAGTGTTAACCAGCGAACTTTTGCGACTAAAAATATCAACAGGAAACCAGGCCTTGGCCACATGGAAGCACCCGCCGTGACCTGACCTGACCTGACCACCAACCATTCCAGCGACGTTTTTTCCGCCGCGACAAGTTGCTCCCTGAACTGGGGTTGAGGACAAGACTTGTTCAAGAGGGTCCAAGCAGCTCCAAGTCAACGGCAGGTGGGGTAGTCCCTAGGTAGAAAGCAGAGAGACGAACATTATGAGGGCTGTAATATACTTCAAACACGAGACGGGATGGGTTCTTCAAACTTTAGAAAAACATTGTTGTTATGGCAGAGTGGGGAAGGGGGGTGGTGGGAGGTACAAATTTGGCGTTGTGAAAATAGATCCCACGCTGAACTGCCAGTAATGGGCATGGCTCCTCATACAAAGGATCCCACGCTGAACCCCAATCTCTTCCTACCCTCGTTAAAGGATCAAGGATGGTGGAAAACACACAAGTGAACAAACGACCACCCTTCATTTCGTCGAAACCAGCGAAGCAGCGAAATTTCATGGGACGCTTCTTTACGAAGGAATCAAGACAGTTTTTTTGAATCTGTCAGCAGTTTGTCACCTTGTGCGTTCCGTCACCCTGGAGTTTGGAGCCCGAGTGTACACCTGACGCCCGTGACAGTCACTCAGAGATTTGGGGCATAGACCGAGTGAATCATGCATTTCATTTCGCTGCCTTTTGCATCCCCACAGCCTCCATAGAATAGCAGTATATCTAAGGATTTTTCCTATTTCCTTTCTTGAGTATCATACGCGTACAACGCAAACTTTCGGAAGACCAGCCTCGGTCGGACGACCTTGCATCCCGATCGTAATTCAAGTTACATTCAGATGTGAGAAACCCGAACCAGCACCCAACATCGCAATTCCGAGGCCCCGCCTAGCTAGCCCTTTTCCATATCATTTCTAGGCTTCATTATTTCCATAAAATTTGAAATCAATATTTTTAGATTGACTTTCGCACATTCTTTTCATTATCAACACTTGGTTATAAAGCTACTTTCTTATGTTATCATCGCCTTTCCAGGGTAATCTGTGGGAGGGGAGCGATAGATTTAGTAGGCAACGAAGGGGTCGACCTGTGAAAGGGATATGAGAATTCCACTCCGATTATGATATCGTTCGTGTCTTCATCGAAGTCATAAAAGACGCTAATAGCCCCGTTCGCGTTCGGCGAAGTCTGAGAAACATGCAACAGTTCCAGGCGATGCGGGCCAACATGCAGAAATTGTCGATGAAGGTCGAGCGCATGAGGAAAGACAATACCGAGCTACGCCAGACGCGAGGTGAAGCGCGACAGGATTCGCCCACCATGGATAAAGGCAGTCGGAGCACCACACCGAACGAGGCCGTCTTCAGTGAGATTAAGTAGTCGATTGACGCTGCAGAGATAAGGCCGGCACCAACAATAGTACCAACATAAGTAGTAGCAGCTCTGGCGGCGGTCACAACAATTATCAAGATAAAGCCGACGAACCCCCCCCCCCCCCCCTTCCCTTCCCCCCCTTTCGGCGTGGAGGTTTTTGCAAATGCTACTAATGTCACCGACGATACAGACCGCATTAATTTCGCAGTTTCACTGTAACGGAGAATTGGATATGGGGAATGGGAGATGGGGAACGGGAGATGGGGAATGGGAGATGGGAAATGGGAGACGGGGCATGAGAGATGGGTAATGGAAGATGGGGAATGGGAGATGGGGAATGGGAGATGTAAAATGGGAGGTGGGGCATGGGAGATGGGGAATGGGAGACGGGGAAAAGGAGAGGGGTAAGGGAGATGGGGGATAGGAGATGGGGAATGGGAGATGGGGAAAAGGGGATGAGGAATGGGAGATGGGTCATGGGAGATGGTGAATGGGAGATGGGGAATGGGAGATGGGGAATGGGAGATGGGAAGTGGGAGATGGGGGATGGGAGATGGGCCATGGGAGATGAGGAATGGGAGAGGGGGAATAGGAGATGGGAAATAGGGGGGGAATTGGATATGGGGAATGGGAGATGGGGCACGTGAGATGGGGAATGGGAGATGGGGAATGGGGGGAATGGGATATGGGGAATGGGAGATGGGGAATGGGGGATTGGGAATGGGAGATGGGGAATGGAAGATGGGGAATGGGGGGAATGGTAGATGGGGAATGGGAGATGGGGCATGGGAGATGGGGAATGGGAGATGGGGAATGGGAGATGGGGCATTGGAGATGAGGAATGGGAGTTAGGGAATGGGAGATGGGGAATGGGAGATGGGGAATGAGAGACGTGGCATGGGTGATGGGGAATGGGAGATAGGGAATGGGAGATGGGGAATGGGATATGGGGCATGGGAGATGGGGAATGGGAGATGTTGCATGGAAGATGGAAAACGGGAGATGGGGAATGGGAGATGGAGCATGGGAGATGTGGAATGGGAGATGGAGAATGGGAGTTGGGGAAGAGAATGGGAGTTGGGGAATGGAAAATGAGGAATGGGAGATGGGGAATGGGAGATGGGGAATGTGAAATGGGGAATGGGATATATTGAATGGGAGATGGGGCGTTTCAACTCTGCCTGGTACGCTCCCTACACGTGCGCACACCTACCACATTGATCGATGCATCATTTTGATCGGCCATACGTTGTTTAAGGTTAGTTCACTAGATTGGACTATTCTCTACTTACTTGCCATGCGATTTCATTTCATTCCATATGTTTTGCAAGATATGAGTGCTTCAACCCTGCCTGGTACGTTACCTACGTATGCGCAAACCGACCACCCTGATCAACGCATCTCTTTGATTGGCCATACGAACTAGATGACCTTCGTATTTGGTTAGTTCAGTAGATTAGACGATTTTCTACTTACTTGCCATGTGATTCCATTTCGTTCCATATATTTTGCAAGTTATGAGCGTTTGAACTCTGCCTGGTACGCTCCTAAAATGCGCATAACGACCAAACTGATCAATCCATCACTTTGATTGGCCATACGAAATGGATGCCCTTTGTATTATGTAAGTTCATTGAACTAGACTATTCTCTACTTACAAGCCATGGGAATCCATTTCATTCCATATATTTTGCAAGATATGAGCGTTTCAACGCTCCCTACATGTGCGCATACTGACGCCACTGATCAATGCATCACTTTGATTGGTCACACGAAGTGGATGCTCTCTGTATAATGTTAGTTCACTAGATTAGACCATTTTCTACCTACTTGCCATGTGATTCTATTTCATTCCATATTTTGCAAGATATGAGCGTTTTAACTCTGCCGGGATCGCTCCCTACAAATGCGCATGCCGACCATACTGATCAATTCATCACTTTGATTGACCATACGAAGTGGATGCCGTTTGTACTAGGTTAGTTCACAAGATAAGACTATTTTTTTACCTTCTTGCCATGTGATTTATTTTTATTCCAATATTTTGCAAAATATGAGCGTTTCAACCCTGCATGGTGTTGTTAAAGTACAAGGCCCAATTGAGTGGACTGGCAAGAAAATGGTAGTAACTGCATCTCTACCAACATAAGTAATGCGCTGGTCAGTTTGGACAGTACGCGCGCCTGTGGTGCAGGGACAATGCACAACAGGAATGCCAATATCTGCCGAATTACATTGATCCAAATGGTTAGAACCTGCTAGGGGGGTGGGAAATGGTACAATGCAGTGGAAAGGAAAGAAAATTATGGTATTCACTGTATTCTACAGAGAATGATTTGGATCCGCACATGTGCAAAAAATGCAGCAGGCATGGTTCATTCGCCAGTACCAATGACCGATCATGCTTGTCACCCTCCCACGCTCTTGCTGGCTTGGTAATAGGTCCAACCGCACACACCCGCGTGACTGAACGGAAGAAAAACGCTCGAAACGAGCGTTTTCATCCCCAAAACACGGAAGGATCCGCACATGTGCAGAAAATGCAGCAAGCATGGTTCATTCGCCAGTACCCATGACCGATCATGCTCGTCACCCTTCCACGCTCTTGCTGTCAACGGGAGTTGTGTTTGGCCCCGTCCTCGCTTGGGCGGAGCCGACCACGGGAGGACCGTGGGAGCCGCGAAACCGCGGGAGGACCGTGGGAGCCGCGAAACCGGGGGAGGACCGTGGGAGCCGCGAAACCGCGGGAGGACCGTGGGAGCCGCGAAACCGGGGGAGGACCGTGGGAGCCGCGAAACCGCGGGAGGACCGTGGGAGCCGCGAAACCGGGGGAGGACCGTGGGAGCCGCGAAACCGCGGGAGGACCGTGGGAGCCGCGAAACCGCGGGAGGACCGTGGGAGCCGCGAAACCGGGGGAGGACCGTGGGAGCCGCGAAACCGCGGGAGGACCGTGGGAGCCGCGAAACCGCGGGAGGACCGTGGGAGCCGCGAAACCACAGGAGGACCGTGGGAGCCGCGAAACCGCAGGAGGACCGCGAAATACCCGGTCAACCAGGATACCCGGGCGACGCGCGCGAATGTTGCCGGGGGTGTTTTCTGCGAGTACGACCTCGGGGGTGGTATCCCGAGGTCGACGTGGCTGGTGGGCGCCGTCATGGGTGGAGTGTCTGCGCTGGGCATGTGACGGGGAGTTGGGCGCCAACCAGCTGCACGCACCTGCGAAGCTGGTGCACCATTGTCAGGCGGGTGCAACGCTGTGCAGCCGACTTACTGCAGCGTTGGCACGCCGCGGACTTGCAATGTTGGCAAGCCGCAACTCTGCTCTGCTGGAGCGCGGTCGACCAAGTCGTGCTGGCACGCGGTCAACCGTGCTGCGCTGGCAGTCAACCAGCAGCCTTGCTAGGTCTGATGTAGTCTGTGTTGCCAACGTTGATGCAATCATTCTGAACTTTTGTTGTCAGGTTTTCCTAGTGAAACTCTTGCCAATTTTCCCCGTGAACTAGCAAGCATTGTTAGCACTTGGAAACGACTAAGGAACGAACGAACGCTACGATCACTCTTGCCCCGTGCCTAGCCCGTAGTCTAGCTCCCGTTGCACTAGTTATCTTCGCATGGTGCGGTGAGCGTGGACGACACCGCGAAGAAACCTTCGGTTTAGCTGACTTCTCACTCACCTCGTTTGTTCGTAGACCAGCGGCTGTGTTGGACGCCATGGTGGACCCCGTAGTAGAGGCGGGTGTCGTGGACACCTTGGAAGCACGGTTGGAGGACGCGAGGAGACGTCATGCGGCGAACGAGTACGGAACTCTCCCGCTGACGGTGGTCGAGGCTGGCATCCGCGCCTTGTGGGCGGCGGAGCACCCCCCTTCTCGGCCTGCATCTCCTCGACCGGTGAACGACGCAGGCGGCGTCGACGCGGGAATCAACGCCGCGGGTGACCAAGTCGGTAGCAGCGCGGGAGGCATATCGAGGCAGCGAGGTGTGATTCACGCCGATGAAGTCGGCGGCGTTCAGGCGCGATGGATGCAGTCATCGACAGCTGCAGGGGCCCCGCGAAACTACGTCGGAGGCAGACGAAGTGAATTGGCGCCGATGTTGGCGACACACATGACCGCGGGAGGAATAGCGCCGAGCTACAGCTACTTCAAGTTTACGCCGGACAAGATCTCGGTCACCCCTCTGCTGGTCGGTCGTCCCGACATCCTCACGTGGAAGGAAGCCATCGAGCCCCAGCTGGAGATGGCCGGGCTGATGGGCTTCGCCCGCGGGACCGTGGCGACGCTGGAGGAGCACTACCCCGACTTGCGAGCGGAATTTCGCGCCGTGCAGTTGCTGACCTTTACGGTCATTTCGCGGTGCTGCTCGCCGGGCGTACAGATCGCCCTGAAGTCGTGCAGGGAGTACCTCGACGCCGGCCACCGGGCGTGGCATTTCATCGAGTCAACTTACCAGGTCACCGACGACTTGTTCATCGCCCAGCTTGAGGGGCAGTTGACGCACCTGCGTATCGGCGACGAGGAGACCGCGACTGACTACTACAACCGAGCTCGGCGAATTCTCGCCACCATTCGGATGGCTGGCGCGGACTACTCCACGTCGTCGTACGTCACACACGTCGTGCAGGGACTCCCGAGCAGCTATAACCTGCTGAAGCGGCTGTCGATGGCGCCGAGCACGCGGGCGATGCTCAACGAGGACACATTGACCTCGTACATCCTGCAGGACGAGGCGATGCAGGAGGCTGAGCGGTCCCAGGAGCTCCTCGCGCAAGTGAATTACGTCGCCCCCGCAAAGCAAGGTGGTCGACCGGGACAGCGCGGGCAGTCTGGTGGCAGTCACCGCGGTGGCGGGAAGCCGGCGAAGGACGCCGACAAGCAGAAGTCTGCCAAGGATGGCGGTCGTGGAGGAGGAGGTCGCCGTCGGGAATGCTGGCTGTGCGGCGATCCCGATCACCTCTCCTTCGAGTGTCCCGACCGCAGTGACTTGGACGACGACGAAACCAAGGGAGGCCGCGGGAGGTCTAGCAGCCGTCGTCCACGTCGAGGAAACCAGCCGCGAAAGGAGAAGCAGTCGACGAAGTCGACCTCGGCGAAGGACGCCGACTCTTCCGCGGGTGGCAAAGGGCGAGGCGACAAGGAGGCGTCGTGCTCGCTAGTCGGTATCATAGAGCCGACCGTCTCGCTGGCGCCGGAAGCTGGCAAGGATTTCCAGGCGGTGGCGGCAGCTGTGCAAGCGAACCCCGCGGTGGTCCTGCTCGACAGCGGCTGCTCGCACCACCTGATGGGGACGAAAGAGGCCTTCGTCGACTTGGGGCCGAGCGGCGACATGAAGCACGCGCGCAGCTTCAATGGGGCGCTGCAGGACGTTCGCGGCCGTGGCACGGTTGCTCTGCAGGGGAAGGCCGGAAAGCGGGTGCTCATCTCCGACGTCCTCTACGTCCCGGACGTGCAGGCGAATCTGCTTTCGGCTGGCTAGCTGAAGGAGAGCGGGGTGACGCTGAAGGACGACTGCGACCGGATGTTGCTCGTCTCCGCGGCGGGGGACGTGCTCGGTCGCGCGACGTACACTGGCCGGGTCCTCTGCACTGACCTGCGCCTATGCGCGAGTCAAATCGGCGACGCCCGCGAAAGTGGAGGTGGCTCTGCGGGCGATAGTCTCGGCGACGAAGGCAACCCCGAACAGGCTGCACGCGAGGCTTGCGCATGTTGGCATGGACACCATACGGAGCTCGGCGAAGTACGGGGTCGCCACCGGGCTGGACCTCCAGTCGGCGTCTGGCGCCGACTCACCGTGTGTTTCGTGCGTCGGCGGGAAGCTGGCGCGGCACACCTTCCCCGACCACGGCTCCGAAGGCGACGACGTCCTGGCCGTCGTGCACATCGATTTGTGCGGGCCATTTTGCGTGGCTGCCAAGGACGGCAGCCTGTACTTCTTGCTGCTGAAGGACCGCAAGAC